TACAAAATTCTACAGACTTCAACACAGTTAAATTGCACCTAATCACACCTGCCTGTATTTTTCTCGAAACTGACTCGCGACACTTTCTTGCATCCATCAGCAGAATGGTCCGGTTGACCCGCATTTCCCTACGAAATTCACGAACGTTGCGTCAGGGCCCGATGATCGCAAAGAGCGTGAACCATGACGCGTTTACACGGTCGAGCGTGCGTTCGCTCGCGGGAATCGGCCAGCGATACGTTAACCGGTAAAAGCGTAAATCGCTTCGCTCGAAAACCCGTGTGTTTTCCCGTCGGCCTTGTTTCGAGTGGGATTATTATATGGGAAAACTGTTGCGCGAACGTGGCAGTCCCCGGGGGCTGTTTAGCAACGCTTTGTTAGCGGGTTGCACAATGTAGATCGTGAATCCGTTAAAATGGGAAACGAGGAAGAAGAACACACCGGAGGCAGTTCGCCTCCGGTGGACCGTGAGAATGTGTCGGCCCGAAAAAAGAGAAAAAAATGAAAGAAAAAAAGACGAAGAAGAGAGAAAAAAAAAAAGAACCACGGGATCGCTTCCTACGATGACGACGATGATTCGGGGTACAAACGAGGCCGCGGCGAACCCGAGAAGGTTTCTGGAAAAAAGGGTTGAGCCCCGTGCTCGGTTCTCCCTTCCGTCGCGTGGAACCGGTCTTTTCTTTCGGAATTCGTTAAAACCCGCTCGGAAAGCGAGGCGATAATCTCCACTTGTAAATCTTCACTTGGGTAAAATCCATCAATTTTCTGGAATAACACGAAACACTCGTAAATCGCGCGTTGTTGAATGTACGGGGTAAAATAATTAGACTGCGGATTTTGTGCACTTATGTACAGAGTGTTCGCGATAATTTGTACCATCGGTTTTTTCGTAAACAGTAAACATTAGGAAAAAACCGAAGAGGAGGCAGTTGTAGCATATTTTACTATTAATATGATAGCATGTATAAGGTTTTTGTATTTTCAATATTTTTCTAGAAATAAAGGGGACCTTAATTTTTTTTAATGGAATGCTACATATTTTTTTACATCATGTGAAAGCGGACATTAAGACGAGTTCAACTATGTAGTATAGTATGGTCTTCAGGGTCATACAAGGGCAGGTAAAATATACTACAACTGCCTCCCCTTCGGTTTTTTTCTGTTTACTGTTTACGAAAAAAACGATGGTACAAATTATCGCGAGCACCCTGTATATACTATGCAGCTCTATAAGTGTATGAAACACTACATTTGCTCTTATCTCTATAAGTCACTTTGGAAAACGGTAATTTTCCATAAAATTCCGCAGTCTATTAAAAACAAAGGGAATGTAAATCGTGGAAAGTGTTATCCGCCTGGGAGCATTGAAATTCTACTGCGTCGATCGCGCTCATCCACTCGTCGAAGTCTCCAGAGACTGTTTTCGCGTACTAATGACGTACCACTTATTAATTCGCGTTTCTTTCCAGACCACGGTATCCACGTATTCAAAAACTATTTCAATACCTTTAATAGACTATCAGAAGGTTGAAAATTCATTAAGGAAGCGCAAACGTGCAATTCGTATTTAATTATTTCTAATATGCGTGGTTGGCTAGTCGCTTATTCACCTCGTCTCGAGGTCTCCGAGCACTTTTTCGCGTACTAATCATGTACCACTTACTAAATCGCATTTCTTTTCGAGCTGTGGCATCTACGCTTTCGAAAGCTATTTTAATACGTTCGTTAGACTATTGGAAGTTGAAAAATTCTTCGAAGAAATTACGTATGTACATGTATTTAATTCAATTATTCGTAATCACGAGGATCGTATTATCGGATCATCGAACTCGAAGATTCTTATTGCCCCACTTTACTAATTGTAATTACTGGAACATGTTTCCGAATGTTGTAGGTGTCCCAATTACTGCTCCCTTAAGATTCTAGCCTAACTTCATTTAATCATTTCACGAGCTGTTTAACATAAACATCGTCTCACTTTGCAACATAATATTATTTAACATATCTTTCATTAAAGAAAAATAATTTTACACATTAAATACGAAGAATTAATTAACAATTAAAGTAATTCATTTTGTGCAATAATTATAAGTCCTTTAGTATTGTTTCGCCACCACTTCCTACTTACGTAGTCATATTTTTGACGCTCAAATTGCACTTTCTTCTTTCAACATTAATTTTTAAATACAGAGTACACACAAGTACGTGTGTTTCTTCATTTTTATGTAAATCACAGTCCCAATTTAATAATACAATTTTTTTCTACACAACTTAGTATACGTTACGTTTTTATTAAGTAAAATAAATAAAATTGTAGTATTAGGGACACTGGCAGTAATAGGGTCATTTACCCAATCGAGAAATGAATTTCGCCTCGAAAACCCCCGAAATTGTTGCATCAACGAGTACTCCATCATCCACGCAACTTCGGAGGGGGACACCCTTTCAGGACAATCCTTTCCACTTTCCCTCGTTTACAGGCGAGTTTATTCCGGCAGGAACGGAAATCCTGCGGTCAAGTGGTGAAAAGGGCTAAGACCCAAAGCGGATTATGTCGATTTTCTTGTATAACGCGGAGGATTACGCTACTCGCGCGTCTCTGTCCCACCCAACCCTTTCGGTCCGTTTCGACACTCGAGCGTTACCTGGAGCCCACCTCGGCGGGCCATAAACTTTTACTGCGTTTACTGGTCAGTGCGGTTTTTTCAGCGGAAAGAAAGGTGAAAGGGTTGTTGTTCCCATACCCCAGGTGAAAGGGAGGATTCGTGCTGCGCGTCGTTAAAGACACACGACGAAAGGGTTGCTTCGACGGAGGGTCCCGTAAAGCTGTTAAACGGCAGATTACCGTCATTCTTTTGTTATAATGGAGACCCAGAGAGCCGTTTTCGGTAGGTATACCCTTTCGGTGTGTCTATATTTCGGAGGATCTTCAAGTTTTATGGGCAGTAAGGAACAGTATTCTGATGGACTTTACTGAAATTTTAATTCATTCTCGTTACGTTTTTATTCTTTATTTTCATTTATTTTCATTTATTTTGTGCGTCAATGTTATTCGAAAATTGTTTTTCCTTCTATCTTGTGAAATATATACGGTGAGAAAAAAGGGTATTGTCACAGAGCCACTTTTCTTTAAAGTAATTTTATACATATATGTTTAATATTTGGAATAGCGTATTAGACACTGGGTTACGAAATGTTGTATTAAAAATAAAATTAAATGTAATATTTAAAATTGGTTTTTATATGTCGAGATAATATATCGAGTTTCCTAGATGCAAATGTGGCGCCATCCTCGATAGGTGTCCTGAAGCTAGTGAAGGTTATTTCGAGGTCTCGGGTGACTTACCAGCTACGAAACGGGCCAGGTAGTGGAGGGACCTGCACCATTTTCAATTCTTGGCACAGTCGGTGTTATTACCGATCGCCTCAAGAAGTAATTTGTTACATACTGTACTGTAGTTTGTTTATTTATGAAGAACAAAAATAATAATTATGATTAATGCAACTTAAATACCGAATTGTGCTGTTAAAAGACACATCATTTTCATTATTTTGTAGGTCATTTTTTTTTGTACATTTCCATGAAAACGACTTAATTCGTCTAATAAGGAAAATCTGCCATTCACTTAAATCAATTTGTATATGCGATTGATTCATAATAATTCATTTGTAAGTGGTTTATTTGAGACAGCCAGACCTGCATAGTTGCAGAAAGTGTGGCATACTCTTTGGCGCTTGTGTTCACTCCTTAACCGCATCAGGAACGAATTTATTAAGACCAGAAACATTATATCTTTCACATTATTTTTATTACCGACAATCAATTGGTAGAATGTCATTTTTTGTTGGGGAATTTCCAAGTGACGATTTAATTACAATTTTGAAATGATGCTTGAATGAAAGGGAAACTAATCGTACACATATGTATCAGTATCCCTCGAGAAGTTAACCTGAATAAACGAAAGTGTACTGATTGTGAGTCTCTTTCTCTCTGATTAACAAAATTTTCGATTAATATACTGTATAAAAATTCATCAGCTATTAATTTCATTAATTACTACGTCAGCAATTACTACTATTTAATTACTATCATATACTTTCATCCCGTCAGGTCTAGGTTATTCATAATATTCACACGAAATGTCGCGATAATTATCTCGACTGAGAAACATTATTGTTCTTATGATCAGGTGAACAGGAAAAGGAAAACGATATTCGTTACACAAATGCTTTTATTAACAAAATGCGAGGGGAGACAATAAATAATCGTGTCGCGGGAGCAAATAAATAAGCCGAGAACTGCCTAAAAAACCGCATGTGCATCCTGGCGCTCGGTGATAACAACAAAAAAACTCAATCTATACACAGCTCCGTATCAACTCCTCGTACTCGTCGTCAATCGTGCCAGTGTATCCTCCTCTCTCGAGTCGTGATAATTTCCTACTGGTTAACCACTCCACCCTCGCGTACACGGGTCGGACGAAAGCAGAATCTAAAGGTGCGTATCCATTTGTTGCGTATCAACGTATCGTATCATTGCAGCGTATCATTATAGCGTATCATTATAGCGTATCACCATACGATACATTTTCATTTGTCCACATTGGTACACAACGGTAATACGATACGAGGATACGCACCGAGTGGATACGCACCTTAAAAGTTCCGCCATCTCGTCGAGATCTCGAATCGAAAGAATTCCCACGACTTTCTACAAAACTGAATCGAATAAAATCATCCGATTTCTCGAACGAACAACACGGAACTTCTCTGCGCAAATGAGTGGTAGGCAACATCCTACAGTCTTCGATCGATCTCCTAATTCAGACCACCGATGATCGACGATCACGTGATACGGGGTTCAGTGTGTTATTTGGCGTGCGTTTCTTTGGTCGTGTCCACGTTTGGGCTTTATCTCTATTTCTCGATCGACATGGTCGTTAGAGAAAAATGAATTAATCGGGGGGTGGATGAACGTTTTGAGTGTTTGAGAGTTTTTTTTAGTAATTCGAGGAGCTGGCCGAGTTCGCTGACGACGAAGAGGACGACGAGGACGAGCCGGAATTGTAGGAGCTCGAGCTGCTACCGGGCGAGTAGTAAGAGTACGCGAGATTCTGGCCCTCCACACCGTTGGTCGGCGTCCAGACACGGGAGTACGGCCCGTTTCCGTCCCACGTCGCGGCTGGGTCGTAGCTCGACGTGCTTGAGGGCAAAGGTGCTCCGTATGCCGGCGCGGCCGGTTCCATCGACATTCCTGCGACAGGGAGTTTCACTGTTTTCACTTTTTTCTTTTCATTTAGTGAAATGGAAAAGTAGTTGCTCGTGTTTCGATCGTAGGTCGAGATTTGGTAACGAATTTGGTACCGAATCGTCGAATTGCCTTCGACGATTTTAGGGAAGGCAAGGAAATCTCCCTCTTCAATTTTTATGAAACTTTGTATGTCTGTTAAGCAGTCAAAAATAAAGGACACGTATTTTTTTTTATCCGCTGAGGCGCGACTTTAAGGGGTGAAACCACCCTTCGAAGTTTCGACCCAAAAGTACTATCTCGATAACTAGAGGAGATACATGAAAACTTCTAATGAACGAGGTTTGCGGTTTTTTATGTAGAATAATATGACGTTAACAAATTGTCCAAAATATAATTTGTTTATAATACAAAAATTTCGGATTGGAAAAACTTCGAGGGGTGGTTTCACCCCTTAAAGTCGTGTCTCAGCCGATAAAAAAAATACGTATCCCTTATTTTTAACTGCTTAACAGACATATAAAGTTTCATCGAAATCGGAGGGGGACACTTCCGTGCCTTCCCTTGTAAGATGGCGCTTTATCACGTGTGGAAGTCGCCCAAGTAATGATACCATTAACCCATTTTTTGTTATGTTGTGTACATGGAATATCTAAGTTATTTATGTTCTAATTATATCAAATTTAGTTCAATTACGAGGAACAACTGCTCGGATAATGATGTTTTCTGAACTTGGGACGAAATGGGTTAATGTCACTTTCAACTTAAATGAACGAAACGAATGATTGATCTAATATTCTGCCACATGACTTACTCTATCGGTTAATAGTATGGAACCAGAGTATATGATTGATGGAACAGTAACTCGTTATTCTTCTAGGATGTAATAAAAGTTAACATAGTAAGTTACATACACAAAGTATTTCCAATTTGACCAGTTTTAGGAATTTACTTTCATCAAATCTTTCCAGAATAATATTTTTCCCTTTCTTTAATTATCTGGAACTGGTCCCATCATTTTCGCCGGTACTGTATTATTTTATTATACCTTAAAAATGGCAGAAATTTATATTTTATGGACTCTCGTGGATAAAATCAAGCTTCTAGACTCCTTTAATATATCCAGAGCCAACACGTGTGAATGTGACGACTACTCTTAACACGAATAAAATATTTAGAGTAAAAAATCGACACTAGTACGTACCCATCGGCATCATCATTCCACCCTTCTTGAAGAACTGTACAGCGATGAACCCAATCACAAGAAGGATAGCAAGTTTCGAGAGTACCAACGCCTTCATCGCCTTCAGTCCAACGATGGCCACCAATATGGGCATCAGCGCCTTCATCTTCAGCTTCAGCAGCAACAAGAACGGCAACAACAGCTTCTTCTTCAGGATTCCACGTGCCTGGCTAGTAGCCACTTCGTTCTCCTTGAACTCTACATCCAAATCGGCCAAGCTCCTGCTGGGTCTGTACTTCAAGCTGGCATCGATGAAGGGCAGATCGATCCCATAATCGAACCGCTTCAGATACTTGAAGGTCCTAGCAACGATGGCTTCGTCGACGGTATCCAGTGATCTGGCCTCGGTATTTGTCCCAAGTCTGTCGTCCAGGTATCCAAGCACTTCGTGTTTCAAACACGTTGTCCATGAATCAGCGGCGATACACTCGTTCAGGGACTTCGAGAGGAAGTCCTGGCTGGCTAGGGAGCCTGCTGCCATCAGGATAATGGCTACCGGTATGAATGTCCTCATCCTTTCTGTCTGATCGAACCTTGGGTAACTTTCGATGGTGGCGCTGCTGCTCCTCCAGCGATGATTTGTTTCTCGGCTGACAAACGTATGAAATGAAAAAAAAGAAAACGATCGATCGTCCACCCGTTGCGTGTGCGAGCGAGCGATCGGCGATCGAACTGCGACTGACGGAGGAGTGGCCCGCCCCTTTTATTTAATTTGCCCCCCGCGAATCTATGTTATTCGGTCGCGCATGCCGGGAATTGACGATCGAAGGAAAATTATTCAAATTTCACTGGCACATAGAAGCGTGTCCTCTCCACCTTCCCTCTCGCGATGGCCCCTCCGCCCCTCCTTCTACTTCACCTTCCGCCCCCTTCCCGCCACGACTACGTGCGTGCACGCGTCCCAACAGCTTGTAGAAGCGTGTACGTACGCGGAACGATTGTCGGTCTCGTGTACACGATGGCATGCGACCGTGGCTCACGATGACCACGGGAAACGGAACTCGCCCCACGTTTCGCGCCGTCTGTCTGCTCTTACTTGGCGTGTTCGTTCTAACGCCCCGTTCTGTCCTCGTGCCGTCGCGTGTACGTATACCATCTACGATCGTTCAGTTTGGAGAATGGGTTAACCGTTCTCGTTGTACGGTCCCCGGCTGGAACGGTAACGCGTATTTGGGGACCCGGGACACTTTTGACGTCCATTCGGCTGGATTTGTTTCGATGAAGCTGTTGTAGGATTGAATTATTATTGGTCAGGCTGGTATTTTGGTCTTTTGTTGTTACTATTGGTGGTTTGTTTGGGTATCGTGATATGTATCTAGACGTTTTTGTTTAGGTCGGTGTTTGACATCCTTTTTTGGATTATGGCTTAATAGAACATATCAACGATCTCGATGCCACCTTAACTTAATGGTCGTTTACTAATTTATTAAACTAGTCGGTCGTTCGGAAGATTTGGAGCGTTTTGAGCACAGGTGTCTTCGTTACCATTTTATTGGAAAAATCGTTTGATCTGGTTTATAGGTATTATTTTATCGACATGAATTGAATGTATTTTTTGGACAAGTTAATCGTCGTTTTTTCTTTGGTTTTCTGCTTTGGAACAGTCACGAAGTAAATTTCCATTACGTTCCATCAAACTGGTAAACAAAATTACAATACTTCGACTGGATAATTTTATAGTATCTACATAATTAATTAGACTCCACCCTATCGGATGATTATTCTTTAGCTAAGACAATGTTGTATATACCTGGAACAATGAAATTACTTGAAAACCGAGAAGAAATTGAAACGAAGTCGTAAATATTCGAAGGATATAGAATGAGTGAAAATCTGCAACGACGCTTTCGAATTACACAAAACCTTCGAAACCTGTCGTCACACTAGAATTTCAACTTCATACATACAGAATATCGTGCTTACAATTCATAAAGTGTCCGGAGGAAAAGAAATGTGTTTAGGTTAAGCGTCAAACTGCAGGTCGCGACGCAAAGCAAACTGGATTTCCATTTTACAAAAGCAAGCGCGAGACAAAGCGGTACTTCCGGTCCCAAACGGAGAGCCTCGCGTCTGATCATTATCCGACGTAATCTCCTTGCAGAACCGGAATCCGTGGATTTAGCGAAAAGACAAAGCGGTACTTCCGGTCCCAAACGGAGTGCCTCGCGTCTGATCATTATCCGACGTAATCTCCTTGCAGAACCGGAATCCGTGGATTTAGCGATAGATCGGAGGGGACAAAATTTCACGTTCTGGACTTTTTTCGACGCAATGGACCGATGGCTCGAGCCCCGTCAATTGAGGAAGAGGATTCGCGACATTTAGTATTGTTATTCATTTGAGTAAGCGTTTATATACCTTTGAGCTGTTATATAAGAGTGAAAATGAAAAAAAAACTGTTTTGTATATGCAGAATTATTGTTTATTAAACATTTAACATATACATCTTATTACATGTTATTTTCTTAGTAATTTCTGAAAAATTGTGCTATATATCTTTCAGCAGAAGAAAATGATTATAACCCATTTCATTAAAACACCATATGCTGTACCAGATATATTTCAGTGGGCTTTTATCTGAATCAAGTTTTTTAAATTTCATATTAAAGTAGATAAAAAGGGCTAGTACTTGACCAAGCCGCGTTTAAAAATGTCAATATTTTACAAAATGGAGGCTGTTTGAATTTAAACTTGTAGTTTCCGACATAAACTTTTAACTTCCTTGGTTATTAAAAAAAGAAAAAATGCAGGAATCAAACATTTGCTTCGTCAAGTACTAGATTTTAGTTTCAAGAATATTCCCACAAAGTTTGATCCAAATTGGTTAAAAAATATTCTACCTATTTCTGGTACCGATTTTGACTACTGCATTTTGAGTAAACCGCTTTTAAATGACAACCATTTTCTTCTGTTGATACATAGATAGCTCAATTTTTCGAAAATTACTAAGGAAATAACATACAATAGGATGTATATGTTGAATTTTTAATAAACAATATTTCTGCATATATATACAACAAATTAAAAACTTTTTTTTGAAAGTAAGCTTCTTGTAATTTTTATTTTTATGAACTGAAAGAGCTCTGAAACGTGAAATTTCAGTTCATTTTTGGATTACGATGTAATTAACCCTTAAATCCATAGTCTTGCTATTTCTCAATATATTTCTTCATGTAACAGATATATAAACAATTACTGCATGGTGTATTCGAATATATATTGTAGTACCAAAGTGTAAAGTATCGACATACGAGAACAGATACTTCTGTCGACAAATAGGACTCGCAGAAGAAGAAAAAAAACCTGGTAGATCAAATATTCAGAAACACAAAGCCATCGATTCGCCAACATATTTACAATCTCCAACTCTGAAAGTGATAACTACGCCCACAATTCAACTTCCATTTTCCTCCACCAACAATTACTTATAGGATATATAATTATTTCAAGGATTCATCGAATTATAACAAGTGATTGCCTACCAGTCCCCAAATCGTAAGGGAATGACCAAGCCAGGTTTAAATTGCAGGTAATAATTTATTAAATAAAACATACAGAGGAGAAACGGAAGACAGGTATTTTACAAAAGTCGCAAGTTAGACGAACGGGACATGTTTCACGACTGCGCGTGTCCGGCATACGCGAGATCCTGCGCGTACTGGGACGACGGTTGGTCCTCCTCGAAGGATCTGTACTGGGCCTGGTACTCCCAGGGTCCGTGGGCGGCGAGTGGTGCCCCGTGTCCGTCAGCGGCGATTTTCTTGCACAGCTGGAAAATCGCCATCCCTACAGAGACGATGAAACTGAAGAAAGAGAGCTGAAGCGCGTTCCAGGCCTTCAGACCGAGGACACCGATCGCCAGGGGAATGAGAGTCATCGCCTTCAGGAGGACGAACACCAGAATAGGAATGACGACCTTCTTCAGCTTGGATTTACGGGCCTCTTCGACGGCGCGACCTTGGCCGAACTTGACGTCGAAGCTGAGATGATCGTCGTCGATGTTCCTGGCGCTGACCTTGACGGAGGAGTCCATCGGCAGCTTGAAGGTCACGTCGTGAGAGGACAGGTAGCTCTGCACGGTGTCCAAGAAAGAGGCCTCTCCACGAGCTGACACCTCCTCGACGGGGTACGCGTTACGAGTCACTTCCACCGTCTCGGAAACCTGCGAATAGGGAAAGTATCAGAATAAGTAACGTAACACCTGGGGATCCTCGTTCAACCTGTTGTTTTCCATTTCGATACGACTTTCGGAACAACAGACCAGGCCTAGTAAAAGTGGAACCTCAAGTTTGAACAATCTTATGATTGTCAATGTCAGACCTATTACGGTTGAAGGCCTTGATTACCTTGAAGCTGTCTTTGCGGAAGATCTGATCGAGTAGATTCAGGACCTTGAACTTCATGCAGGAGACCTCGTCGTTCTTCTGCGCGCACTCGATCTTGGTCTGGTCGACCATCTGGTCCATGCTGCTGCCTTTCCAGAGATCGTTCTTAGCCGGCTGGGCGGCCGCCAGGGCGAACAGGGCGCAGAATAGGATGAGCTTCATGGTTTCACGCGGAGATTGGTCGACTGGTGGTGCCCTTTGTGGGAAGGCTGTTGGTGGTGTGTTTGCTCGTGGACGATTGTCTGGAAACGACTGATGCCGTTGGGTTGGGCGTCCAGGCTATTTATACGAAGCCCCCGTATCGTCGGATCGTCGGCGTCTTACGTCCCCGTACGCTGAGCCACCCAAACGCGCTCGCACACCGCCCCCACTTCCGTCCGGTAGGCCACGAATTTTCTTTTCGTTCAGTATGGCGTTCGATTATCGAGGCCTCGACGCGATCGTGACGGGACTACCATATCGACCGTGGATCTGCGAAGCTGATGGGAAAGCCTTTCAGCACCTGGACGATCCGGCTCTCTGGGGGTCAGGGATGGTGTACCAGCTGCGAAACGCGATCATCTATTTTCGATATTAATGAGCGACAGTTTGCTTTCTATCAGCGGCCTGCTCACTTCCGGCTGTAATCGACCGATGGAATTTAATGTCCACGGCGATACCAGGGGACTTCGTAATTAACTTTGGACTCGTTGGACTTTACGAAGTGGATCGCGGGTGGACATGGAATCGCGTTGGAGGATAGACGTTGGGAATGGTAACAGTAAATTGAAGAATGGACATTTTCAAAAATTTGTTTCGTTTTTTAATAATATCGTAATTGGAGCAACGATCAGAAGAGGGTGATATAATCTACGAACATTTGTGAAAGCAATCTTGATGGATATCCATACTTGGAACCCTTCAGTAATTTATTGACAATTCGTTCTTCTTAGTGACTATTCGTAAAGTATCTCGAAAGCTTCAGATATTCTACGAACTACTATCTTATTTTCAAAGATCACGGTTCCTTCGGAATTCTTGTATTCTCAACTCCAGACGACAGGGTTGAAGTTGAAGATATTGTGTCTTCAACGTGTTCATTGTTATATGGACATAATAATAATAATTAGATCGTACAATACACACTCGTCTTCCACCTTATGCTCATCAGGATGCGAAGACCTTTCGAGTTAGGAAACGGGGTTCAAATTGAATATATCTATTCGGTCGTATTAAAATGCTAGTTATTCCATTGACCCCGATCAGGTTCCCAATAAAACAATCAGATCACGCAATAAGCTGGCCGAAACTTTCAAATATTCGTCCAGCTGTCTTACAGCATCGACGACAGCTAGGCGGAAGTCGCGCGGCCGCCCGAGTAAGAGTAGAAGACCCTTCATCCTTGGCACCAATGGCACCGTAACATTGGCATTGGACGCGATCGTTCATTCACACCACGAACACGGCACTTTCCACACGTCTGCTCCGTTAATGCCTGCATACTCCCCACCCCATCATCGAAATGACCGCCAGAGCCACCCTTCGCTAGCTACGGATGGCAATTTGTTTTCAACCCTCTGCGATTCGAAGTTTTTTAGGTCTTTTACTAAAGCACTTGCACATGTCTCGTGGAATTTAACGAAATTAGAATATTTTTATTGAACAATATATTTATGAAAATTTTTTAAATATTAAGGTAATATTGACGAACGACGCAGTTGTAAAATTAGAAGCAAATGTACCATAGGTGAATGTAAGGATTGACAAATACGTGTTCACCTCGATTTAGGGTTTCAATTGACCCTTCAACACCCAGTGTGTATTTTACATTTAGAAAATCATATTTTCAGGGGTTACAGATGAGGTGCACGTTTTGAGACCATTTTTGAGTTAACTTACAAAAAGGACTTAATGTTTAGTATAGATAATTTCGACTTCAAAATAACAAGGTACAACATATACATCCATCAATCCTATAATTTTGGAATAACGATTTAAGGGTCTGGGTGTTAAAGGGTTGAAAAATCTCGTTAGGAATAATCTACATTCCATTAACAACTGCTTTATTTAATAGTGCACATGAAACTAGTACGTATTTTTTTTTTATTAATAATATTAAAAATCCACTCTCATGAGGTCGTTTAAAAAATTTCTACTGTATGTATCACAAATATTCAAGGGTCGACGATACATCCTTCTCAAACATTTCTAGTGACTCATAACGATCTATTGACGTATCGTTTCATTAACATTCACCCAATTTTTACAACATAGTTGCTAGCTTCTCGATTCCAATCTAATAAAATATTTCGGAGCCAGTTTGAAAGCAATTATGGCTTTCAGCTATCTGGAGTACAGTAAACAGTCTAATTAATTTTTATTTTACATGTAAAAACAAATTTCTATAAATTCAATCGTAAAAATCTATATGTAGGAAGCAATGAAGAGCTCACGTGTTTACTGTCAAATTACTGTCAAGAATCTGTCGAAACTCGCGTAACAACCAGTTTAAAGAGCGTGCACGCAGTTAAAAGGCCCAATTTCACCCTCCGGTGACCCTAATCAAGCCGTCCACGATCGTATCTGACAGAGATTCCACGTGCCGCATCAGAAATGCTCGTTGCGTGCGAGTTTCTCGTGCGAGAATGCGCGCGTGGGGTTGCGACGAGAGACACTTTTGTCCGTTCTGCCCGACTTCCTTCTGCTCGTAACAATGAAGCAAACGGTAATTGGAATTTCGGGTCGAGTTTGCATAAACATTCAGGCCGTAGTGATTGTCGATCGGTGTCGCCTTCGGTCGCGTTACCAGAGCTCTATTTCCCCAGCGTCGCACCTTGCAGTCTGCGCTTTTCCACGTTTTTCCTCTGACACCATCGGGTCGATGAAAAAAAAACCACCTCTAGAATCAATCAGGTTCCTGAATTTTACTTATTCTAATCGGTATCGAATTCTCGACAGAGTCGGGACAGCGACTTTCGAAGGAAATTGTAGAATCGAAGGATCCACTTTTACCGTTTGAAGATTCCAAACAACGATCGACCCAATTCCTCCCCCTATTCCGTGGCCGTTGAATCCTCGAAGTCGATCGTCGAACTTTCTCGATCTCCGAGCACACGCTGGTCGGATCCTCGGCCGATTCTCGTCGCGTAGGTAAATAATAAAAAGGGAAAGCTATGCCGCGTGTTCGTTTTGGCGGAAGAAGGGAGAGGGGGTTAGAAAGATAGACAAAATTTCAGTGAGACCAGGTAAGAAATTTTATTATAAATACGACAACGCGAATAAATATTAAATAGAAAGGGTGTAGGGAGGGTTGGCGGGTGTCATCTTCGTTCAGCCTACTTCCTGTAAGCTCTGTAGGGTCCATGGGGTGCTGTGTCCCAGTGGGGAGGGTGTTCCACAGGTGGGTGACCATAGTGGACGACCTCATAGGCGACTTTAGGCTTGGTAAGTTTGAAAATCATCATCGCTCCGCTGAGGACCATCGACAGGAGACCTAAGGTGAGGGCTTTCCAGGTCTTCAGGGCGATCAGAGCGAGGGCGAGCGGTACCAGGGCTGTGGCCTTGAACTTGAGACCCAGGAGGAACGGTATCATGACCTTCTTGACGAATCCACGGCCTGAGAATACATCAGATTCATCAATTTCAGTCTATCGATCATCGTAATATTTCTATTTCCGAAGAATGAACTTTTGGAAGAACTCTCCTACCTTGACCGTTCGATGAGTCCGACAGAGGAATAGCGACACTCCTCGGCATGGTGTCCACGAGGGATCTGGGCACGATATTTGACCCTACGATGGCTTCGGGGAGTTTAGCCTCCAGCTGGTGGCTGGACAGGTAAGCGTCCAGCTTCTCCAACATCATCGACCTCAGAAGCTCTCGTCTGGCTGGATCGACGGTGTCGTACTGCGAGGGATAGTACTCTTCGATGCTGTCCTCAGGCATGTCACGAGACTTCACCACTGCTAGGTCCTCCGTGATGGCGATCCTGTCTTGCTTGACTGCGTTGCTCAGGTAGGCAAGAACCTTCGGCTTCACGCAGGACAACATCGACTCGTTGTCCACGCATCTGTAACGTTGAAATTAATTATTCTCCTCTCTGTTCAGCATTCTAATCCCTTATTTAAGGCTTTCACTGCTCGATATCATACAGTTCTTATTGTTGAGGCTTTCGGGTGTAAGCCGTGTCCTTGTGGAATTTGTTTCCCAACGATTCGCAAGGGGATCGAAGACACACTGATACCAGTATCATAAAGCTAGCTGGAATGCTTGCGAAACGGTGGGAAAACAATTCCACAGGAACACGGCTTAAACCCGAAAGCCTCAATAATAAGAACTGTATTCTAATCCCTTGTTCTTGGTCAGGTGACGTTGAGGATAGGGTATGGGTAGACGAGGGGGTCAAAAGTGCGCTTAGGTTGAATTGGGTTGGTGATGGACCAAGAAAAACAATTTATACCAATCACCAATCCTCCATCTCGACCAGGATGGTAGGTTTCTTCTCTACTGTCCTTATTTAATCACAGGCATTCCAAACACTCTCGACACAAGATTCGATTACTTTGCTACCCTACTATGTTACGTCCCTGTCAGAAAATTGGAACACTACTTATTGAGACGTCTAACCTCAACCTTAAGTAATATCATTATTGTTATCATTGTTTAATATATTTTCGTTTCAATGAAAGCATGGAGTTATAAATAAGATATCGTTGAATCTGTCGGTCTCACCTGTGATAAATATTTCGAAGGGCCTCAGCTGTGGTCTCTGATTGCTCAGCGGCAACGATGGCCGCCAGAAGGGCCACAGACGCAACGACAGCAAGGAACTTCATGGCGGGGAACCGAGCGAATTGCGTGGCTAAACACCGAATGCCGGTACGAACGAAGACAACGCGGTTTTATAGCCGATGGTAGCCACGTACGGCCGATGAATTTTGATCAGGGTACGTGTGGCCGGGCTGGAAGGAAAGAAGAAAGCCTTCATTATCTAGGGTGCCGATGTTTTCACGGCTCTCCGTCCCTCCGGACCGGATTTTCGTTTCGACATCCACACGGTTCAGGCCGCTTCCGGTTCCCGACACTCTCGACGATTTGTCGAAGGATTTTCTCGATCAGTCGTCCACGCGACCCTGACGAGGGACGTTCGACCGGTGTCGATTTATCGAGCGATTCGTAGGACACGAATCGTCGTGTGAAAACCGATCGTGGTAAAGTGAAATTGTTCACGCGACGATCGTGAGAGGAGAATAGATGAAAGTAAGAATGGTCTATGAAAGGGGAATAATAGTAGCCGTTGGAAACTTGATAGAAAGTGATTTGAAACGGGAATTTAATTTCGGCTTGCATAAAGTGTCACTGATTATATTCTGTCGGTGTAGGTGGTAGTTAAAGTGTACTTTGAGTCAACGAAGAGTCAGTTTTCACGTACCTGCGAAGCACCATGCTTCGACTGTTGATAATATAGACTTGTGATTTTATCTGGTTTACAGTATTCACGGGAATCGGATGAATTTGAATAGTTCTTGAGTACTTGCATTATATTTATTAATCCAGTTCAGTATGTCTGAGAATTTGTTACCTTTTTGGGTACTGTAATTAAAAAAATTCTATTTTGTTGTATACCTTATCGTTGACTCGTTGTATTATTTACTACTGCAGAAGAAACACACAGGATTGATTTTCTATTTTATTTGAACAATTTTCCATAAACTGTAATTGAATGTTGCATGATATATAAAGACGAATTGTCTGGGACGGATGCACAGGCCGAATGAAGGGTCACTTAGACCCGTAGTAAAATTTCTCTTGTTACGCATTGTTCAAGGAAAAATTATGCATAAAATTTTGTACATATTTTCAAGTTCATTTATTACTTTTGCATATTACTACAAGGAATACGATAATAGTCATAGATGGGTAAAACTGACCCTGCATTCAGAGTACGAGGGTTAATTAAAAAAATATGTAACGTCACCGTAGTTCCTGTTTTTACATTTATTCTGTACGAAACAATAATATACATAGAAACTTCGAGGTAGTGTTATCGAAGCAACGTTTCTCTGTACAATAAATAACATTCTCTACAATTACACGGTCTATCGTTAAATATAACAAATAACTGGGTATGGCACCCGAGAATGTAACAATAAATAATGATTATAAATAAGAAAACTCTTATATTTAACATTACATTTCTTTCTTGAGATATTATAATAATATACAATGAGAAATGAATTGGCTGTCGACATATTACGAAGATGTTGAAACATCATAACAAACTGTAACTTATTTTTCAATTTTACTACATGAAATATACACTTGTAACTTACAGAATTAGTTAACAAATGTTTCAGACGAACGAAAAGATGCGAATGCCACGTAAATCCAGCGTATATCACGTCCATTACAGAACCGACGAACCCTATTGCAGGAATTGATGCTCGTCTAATGCGGTGATGCATCGGATTCGTGTTTCAAATAATTTTTCCGACAAGGTGTCAATAAGTTACACAGTAATTGACACTTTATCGGAAAATGCTATTCAATTCGTCGAAAGAATCTCGAGACTTGAATCCACGAAGCCCATACAATTTCCAAATAATTCAGTCAAAAGCTGAAACTAAAATAGTAATCTATCCAGTTAACAAAAATTAGGGCTTCATGGATTCACCGTCGATAATCCATCGTTCGATAACGTATACTAACATTCAACAATAAATATCCTAAATAAATTATATCGATAACACAAGGCATTCGAATTAAATCGAAGAGAAAGATATTCTCTCCTTCTCATTCGATTTAACATTCTATACACTGGACAAAATCAGTATATCTCCACGAGTGCACGTTCTATACGCTCTCAAGGAACATAAAAAGGATTTCGTTCGTACCAAATATACCCTATAAAAGTTTCCGATCGCTCTATTAATTTCCAGAAATCATGTTACATTTCCACAAAATTTATTATTCGATAGAATATCCTTTTTGTATTTTTTCTCATCTACGCTGATTTTTGTAATTATAGAAATCCTGTCAAAAATAATACACTTCGCAAACAATATTAAGGGATCACCTCTGCGAACTTTAAAAACTTCCCGTATGAAATGAAAGTAGACATTACACACTATCAAAGGATTCCTTAATAATATCGATATGACCATTCTTTCCAGAGTAACAACCATTTAAACTTGGTCCCATTTTTCCTAAATTCTTCTGCGAAGTGTACAAATAATCTCCAATATCAGTGTTTCATTCCCTCCCAACAAGTCATTCTCAAAAACCACATTTATCTTCGTAAACCAAACGTTCCGTCTACATTTTTCCTACACGAGAAATCGAGTTCACTTGCGATCCCAAAGATTCTGACAGAGATGAACAGTCTATAATCGTTCAGCACCACGGAATCCCATTTATCGTCGTGTTCGGTGTATAATAATTCAGCACTCGCGGTTCTTCCTGAGTAGACAGCTTCGTTACGTGTCCAAACGGAGTGGACCACTTAAGCCGGTCGTCTCAGCGGAGACATCGACGCCTGGTTAAGAGACCTCAACGCCCGGTCAAGTGACATCGACGCCCGGTTTCTGGTCGCGCAGCTTATCGCGACGACCCTTCGTCTTGTAACCGGTGACAAAAATTTTCATCAGGTTTATTCGGTGTTTATGTGACACGGGTACATTCTCAAGCAATCACCACCGTCTTGACCCAATCTGGCAGCGTTCAGGTATCTGTGAAACTTCTGACTGGACGAGCTCTCGGTCCCAGCTTTTTTCAGTTCCTGCGGGTCCCTGTTAAAAATCAGCAAAATTTACAAACTTGTTAACGAGCCATCTGACACGGTCCTACATCAGATTCGTTCGTTCACCAATATTCGTGTCACTCTCGTCATTTAGCGCACGGCTAACAGGACGAAGTATTTCTCGTCGTTAAACGGTCTCGCGAGAGATATCGCGTTACTTCCTGGCGGAACTAACGATTTACTAAGTTCCTGGGTTAGGATCTCTCGCGATCAGCCGTTATTGTCCGGCTGGGAATGGCCGGGGGCAGAAGAGATGGAAAAAAAAAAAAGACTGGACCCGCGTGAAACGCGATTCGACGTTCCGATTCGTGTGATTTGGGGCGGTGGCCAACTTTCTCTTTGTGATCGATGTCCCAGATGATGGAAATTCGACTATATGAATATACACAGGATGAGTCGATGAGAAATACTATCTAAAATAACTCGTCACCTATTGATTGCGTCAGAAAATGTTTAAATAAATTTTGTAGCATTTTAAGGAACTCGTGGGATGGACACAATTTGATTTTTTTATATCTTATTTCTTGTTTGAGGTATCAAGGTGACCTTGGGCTTTGAATGACGAATTCAAGGACTTATAGCATGATGGTATTAAAAAACAAGATGCATTGACCTTGAAGGAACTGAAGGTCATGTTCACATAACAAAGAAGTATCGTAAAATGCTACGATATTCGTTGAAATGTTTTTTGATACAACGAATATGTAATGAGTTATTTTAGACAGTAGTTAACAGTGAATAATTTCAATTGTTAACATAACGATTAATATTAGAACTACCGACAATTAACCTGTTTTTTTAATTCATCATGTTGGTAAAAGGCAGTAGCCTGTTGAAATATATGGAAATTGATAGTTTGACGAACTTCTTCAATTATACAGGGTGTCCCACCTAACATGACCGGGTTTAGTACTATTTGAAGATAGAAATAAATGTCGGAGAAAACTATTATTTTGTTGGAAGGGCAAATACTCCGATAAACAAAAAATTTTTCCTCAAGGTTATACTTTTTCATACTATATAAATGCATAAACATCCGCAGTCTACTTACGATATTTCAATCATTCTCGTAAGAGTGAACTAACCAGACGTTTTAACAGCTTTGATCGTTCTAGCGTTGAAGATAATTCAACTATTCTCTTTAAGTGCCCAAATATTCAACGAATAAAATCCCACGGTTTGGTGATAAATAATTCCCCATCCCGGACGATCAACCGGATCGTGTCTTCCTTACCTGGAGAGTTCGTTCGAAACGAGATTGCTGTGTGGCGAGTAGACGGTCGGGTTCTTGTACATGCTGCATACGAGCCTCTCGCGGCACGGTTCCTCGAAGAATCTCAGTTGCTTGAAGATCTCCTCGAGCCTGTTCACGATCGGCCCGTAATACTCGTCCTCGTGGGACTGTCGTTGGGTCGTCACTGGTTTCGCCTCTGCTTGGCCGGCCTTCGCGGAAATTTGTCTTGTGTTCTGGGCGAAAACACCGTACGGACTTTTGACGTTGCTCGTGATCGGTAACGTTGGTGCATTCAAGCTGTTAGGGTTCATAGGAACGTTGACTATGGGATGATTGTTGACGGTGGGGCTGGATGGTTGCAGCAGTGGTCGACGATTGTTGTCGACGTAGGCAGAGTAGGCCAAGTTGTGCGCGGATAGAGGTCGTTTTTCAGGGAACGTGGGTTGAATCGGTTGAGCGTTCGGCGCGTATTGTGGAACGCCATAGGCTGCTGGATAGGCCTGTCCTGGAAACGGTGCTGGTAGCACACCTGGCGGAGTACGAATGGGAACTGTGCCGGCGCCAATGGGCACGGTTGGGTCATCTGGTTCCTCGTAGGGCTCTATACCCCATTCCTTTAGCTCCTCGATGTCTTTTCTGTATTGGATATGGGGATGAGCGTAATCGTAGGTGTCCAGATCCTCGTCCTCGTGATGGTGATGATGGTGGTTGTTGTAGTAGGTCGGGATAGGGACTGGGACTGGTACGTGATGATGATGGTGGGCGACCTGGAAGAAGGTTTAATAGAATTTTTCGAACGAACTTCTTATCAGCTTTCTGGATACGTACCTGATGATGATGATGGTGGAACTTCGTGGAGTGGGCGGAATAGTAGCTAGAGCAGAGCTTGAAGACGTGCGCGAAGGCGGGTATGAAGAAGAGCAACAGCTTCAGGAAAAGCTTCTTCGCTGTACCAATCCCGAAGAGGAACGGAATGATGAACATAAACTTGAGTTTGATCAGCTTGATAATTAGCAGCAATGCTAGGAAGCTTGTCAGCAGTTTGTTCTGTATGAACTTCCCTGAAAGAAGAAGAATTCTAGTTAGTATAGACTAACTGGATGATGAAGAATCACTAGTGCAACAAAACATCGTACTTATTTTCTTGAATATTCTGCCTTGACTCTCCAACCCACGCTGACCGAAATCTATCCTGACAAGGGCGCCATTCTCGTCGACCTCTTTGGGGCTAATTTTCACTGCTGCACCCTCGAAGAAGAATTCAGGCAGTTGGATTTCGTAGTCCCTGGTCGCCAGGAATTTCACCGCCTTCTTCCCTACAGCGTTTGTCACTTCCTCCAAGGGTGACTGTTCGTCCTCCATCCCTCTCCCTTCTTCCTCTTCACTGTTCTCGTTACATCGATCCTTGCCCGACTCTTCGACCAGATTCTCGTCCGACGAATCCTGGTCCGCCTTCCTGCGGCAGGTCCCGTAATCCAAACTGTTCCTCTTCAACGTCAGACCGTCGAACACGGTGATATTCTCCCGATCCACGAAAACATTGTCCAAATACGAATAAGCGTTCTTCTGTATACACGAGAACGTGACAGACTGATCGCAGTCCCTGAACAGCCCGTTCCACAGTTCGTTCCCGGTCTCGTTCTTCAACATACCATCCACATTGAAGATCCTCGCGTACGACTTCAGGCTCTTGAAGCTGAAGAACCCAGTTCCAGCGTTCACCATCGAACAACACACCAGAAACACCACTATCCTCGCGTACATTTTCGAGCAAAATATCAAATCACTCTTCACGATTCTCCGCACCAGTCAGGAGCTCAAAGATTCCTCGATCCACAAGATACCAGAATTAACGAACGTGTCCTAAAAACGTAGATCCGTTTCGGATCTAGACCAACTCACCCAGCACTGGGACACGACGGTGCACTTCGAAGTTTATCGAATTGACACTCGACCACGTGGATGTTCCGGTGCTTCCGTTTGCTGTCCCCACCAAATAGACGTTGACCTCGAAGACTCGATAATTTATAACGATTGTCTGTCGATCACTTGACAATATTAAATATTCTAACTGGCACAGTTCCGTGTGATCGTGGACTCCCAAAACCGATCCCATCCGACGTTCTCCGTCAGCTGGTCCGCATGCTCACGTCCTCATCCGGCTTTCTTCTCTCTCTTTCTCTCTCTCTCTGTCTCTCGAGAGACGCGCTCCGCTCGATCTCCCGCTCAAAACTAACCAACGAGGTACTCCGTTCCCGGCTACAATTCACCTGGAGCGTCAAGTGTGTCAAAGGCCCTCCTACTCCGTCCGCGAGCGGTTCCGTGGAAGGTCATTATCGTCTCCTCGCCGACTGCAACCGGCCAGCTGGCTTACACGCACGCCACTGTCGAAAAACGTGTGGCTTTGCGGCGTTCGTCGGGGAATTTTTGGAGGCTTCCTATGCACCGTGACCCGTCCGTTTCGGCAACCCCGTTTGGCTTCGATCCTGGTGAAAGCGGACGGAAAACCTGCCTGGACGACAGAGTTTATAACGTTTCGCTTCCGATTTGTTTCGATCGAGGCGATCGTGTGTAGACCGATGCGGTTTGCAGAGAGGCTTTGAGGACGAATATGTTATCGCGCGATGGAAACTCTACGACCGCAGACTTTGGCTTTTTTTACGATGATGCTGGAATGTAACGAGTGGTCTGTGGATGTTCCTGGGTTCGAGATGGTGAGATTGACTGTGAAGTATGCATGATAGTCTTTGTGATAGTCGTTTTTACGGAAGTTATTATAACGAAGGATTTTTTAATTTATTACATTACCACAAGAGACATTTAGGTTGGGGATTGTTGGGCTGATAATTTTATAAAATGTGGTTTGAAATTGTAGTTTGGGTCCATGTTTTAAAATGTTTTTTTTTCGCACGTTTTTATTGCACAAGGTTGAATTTAATTTGCGAAATCATGGGTCTGATTTGCAAGAGTTTGATTCGTAAAAGGGTGAATTTTTAGTGCAAGGACCGTGTATACATGTAAGAAGTTTCAGGAATGATGGTTGTAAATGGTTCGGTGAGAAATTGAAGAAAAGACGCGATGGCGAGACAGGTTTGTGGATCTTCGACTGTTTAAGAATGTGAGATTGACTAAAGTATGCGATAATCTTCGTGAAATTTTCATTAGACGAAGTGGGTCTCTAGTTAATCCTCATTAAAATATGAATTTGCATGAATATCCACGTTAGAATTATTGTATCTAATTGGAAGTATAGGAAGAATATAATGCAAAAATACCTAGAATGTTAGATAAATATTGATTAATCGAGATAGATCAACAATCTTGAAAATAAAGGATACGATATAGTCTCCTCGAAAAGTTAATGCTCCCCCTAAACTGTTTGAATTTAGGGAAATGATGAACGTCGTTTTTATTTTCATTTACTGGAAATTCATCAGCTACTCCATCACTTATTTTAGCAGCATCTTAACAAAGTATTGCATTAATTTATGGTTAATCATTAATATACTTTCCGAGGTTACTGTACGTCATAAATAACAGTATAAAAACAAAAGAAGCAGAAACAGGAGAGAGTAGTTTTGACTCACATTTAATATCTTCGAGGCGATGCTACTTGTCACGCGTTGAAGTCTCCAGAGATTCCCAGTATTACCGTGTTAATAACTTTCTTGCATGAAAACTAGTCACGCCATCGATTTGAACTTTTTCTCTCCATAATATATACTTCAGTCTGGATCTTCGATCTACAGCGATGCGGATGGTTTCTAAAAAAGAAATAAAACGAAACACTCTTTCCGTCTCGAGTGGAACCAACGAATAGGAAGACTGTTTTGCAGCTCATCGAACCGGTCTGTTACGATCTTGCAAGTGATCCAGCACGATCGTCGATCGATTACAGACGTGAAACATCCAGGAATTTCCGTGATCTTGGAAACAGGTCGTCGTCGACTTTCGACGAATCCGGTCCGAACGATTTCTGAATTCGCGATAAAAGAAGACGGGAGAGAAAAAAAAACAAGGAAGTGGAACACGAGAGTGAAATTCGAAACGATTCGTCGGAGAACAACGGGGCAGAAGAAGACTACCGCCCCGGAATATTAAGTAACTTCATCTAGTCGTAACTTTCTGTATCGAGGTTAATTGTCGTGAAAGACGTCGCGAGGTCTGAGATTCGCCGACAGCAAGTGGCCGATCTTCCAGCGATTTGAATGCCCCAAGAACCGTGGCTAATTGGAATCCATATCTGGAGCAACGCTGATGCCTCGAGGGATCAGAAACGACAATTCGGTGGATAATTTTGAAATCAATTTTAAAATCAATTTTAAAATCGTATTGATTCATCTCACTTCTCGAAGAGTTCTCTTTTTATTCTCTTATTTTGTTTGTACCAAGACAAAATTAAAATTTTTGTGTCATTTTTCTTACACTATGTCTCTGTATCTTTTGTACAAAGACTGGCCACTTTGATATTAAGATATACAGAGCAGAACGAAAAAAGGGTTCATAACTTTCGGGGTAGTTAGTACATGGGTGGAAAAATTAATATGTTCGAAGTTATAAACAATTTTTTGTTTCGGTTATAGCGAGTAACTTTCTCTATCGTACCGTATTGAAAAAATGAAATACTTTGTCATTTCTTCTTCTCCTGGTTAGAGGAGATTTCCTATAATTTTGATTAGTTTTCTTACGAAGAAAATCACTCGCTATAACCGAAACAAAAAATTGTTTATAATTTAGAACATATCAATTTTTCCACTCATGTTTAATAGGATTTTTTTTCGTCATTTGAAATGTTATATATTATTTAGGGAACAGGGAACATCGTTTTTGTCAACTGCTTGTTATAAAAGAGGAATATTAACATGCCACTAATAGACCATCCTTTGACCATTACGAAATAAATTTATTTTCCCGCTAATTTCGTATACCTGCTCGCTAACCATAATGTACCAGAGGAATATTTTCGGTTTGTTTCTTTGGAACCACGTCCCCACCACGAGGCCTATAAACACAAAATTCACCTTTGTCTTAATCATTCCTTGTTCGTCCCTTGGCGAAACAACATTCCCTCTAACGTGCTGAAAATATAGAAGCTTGCAGTGATTTCAATTGAAAACGGTTCGACAGTGTGTGTTCGTGGTTAAGGCTAATCGATCGGTGATATTGCAAACAAGTCTGTGTGGAATATCATCAAGAAAAAAACGACGGATGGTATAACAAATAGAAAGTTCTTTGTGTTTTACTAAACCAATTCAGGCGTTCGAATACTTTTGAACGGTACTGTACACAAAAGGACAACGAACCTGGTAAACGTTCAATTTTAACCACATGTATAATCCTCGGAACTTTATTTCAATTGTTAAACCTACCTTCCAAGAAATCTCCGTAGATATTTAGCAACCTAATGAAGCAATTACAGTCTCCATTAACGTAACATTACTTTCCAAATTTCTAACACACTTGCATGTATGTATATAACATAAATACCCTTTGCATGAAAATCTACGTTATAAGATAACTTTTTCAAAATTTCGTAAAGTGATCTAATAATTCCCGTGCGTCTGCTAGATTCTGTCCTTTTGTGCATACACTCCTGAAAAGAGGAAGTTGTTAGGAGCGTCGGAAACTTTGTTCAGCTACGAATTCTCGGACATCCACGCCTCGGGGTTTTCACTAATAGATCGTTGGTGAACGTGTTCTCATTACACGGCGTGGCGGCTCCATGGCGTTACACCGGTAACCTACATTCGCTCCGAACGAACGATAAGACGTTATCTCGTGGCTCCGGGCCTCGATTCCTCTCGATGGTCTTGCTAAACAAACGGGGAGAAATGGTTTCAGTGTCGTTTCGCGATCGGCAAAATTCGTCCTTAAAATTGGCCTCTTCCGTATGGGTCGATGACACCGCGATTGCATGATTCCGTGATACTTCGCAAGATTGAGTAGATCTTTACTGTATATTTAAATCTGTGTTTGTTCTCGTTATTGCAATTTGGGACCTTGTGGGAAAGGGAATATAAACTCACTGATAGAAACTCTTGTGAAATTGTAACTCTTATGGAATTGTAAATCTTATGAAATTAGAACTCTTATAGAATTACAACTCGTATGGAATTATAACTCTTATGGAATTACAACTCTTATGGAATTGTAACTCTTATGGAATTGTAAATCTTACGGAATTGTAACTCTTATGGAATTAGAACTCTTAAGAAATTAGAACCCTTATAGAATTACAACTCGTATGGAAGTACAACTCTTATGGAATTATAACTCTTATGGAATTATAGCTCTTAGAGGAGTATAACACTCGTGAAATTATAACTGTTGTGAAGTTGTAACTCTTGTGAAATTGTAACTCTTGTGGAATTGTAACTCTTATAGAATTGTAACTCGTATGGAATTACAACTGTTATGGAATTATAGCTCTTAGAGGAGTCTAACTCTTATGGAACTACAACTTATGGAATTTCGATTCTGAAAATTCCATCTCCCTGCATCACCAACGCCACTACATAATTTCTTCAAGGCGCTTACTTTAGTACAATATATAAATATACCAAAATTAACTCGTAAAATTTAATAAGCAAATTTCTTATACTCTCAATAACTATGTTAATGAATAGACAACTCATCATTTATCTTAAACATTTCGTTTGTTGAATAAAAACATTCCGAAAGAATGACAATTTTTTAGGGCTTCGCAATGGCAAGGCCCCACAAGGAAATAATAATCACTGGCCGTTTAGTGCAATGAGAACAGA